AAAGATCCCCTCTACTGCTATGACCTCCAGCTCTGCTCAAGCCAAAAGGAAACGGAGAAGTAACCAACAAGGCAGGCAGGAAGGAAAGGTTCTGCTCCATCACTGTGTTTAATAATACAAGGTTTAAGCCCTGAGCTTAAACGAGAAATCTTTGCTAAGAGCAAATAATGCTGGAATGTTTCTCACAGATCAGTCAAAAATGGAGGAGTAGAGTTCCTTCATCCCCATTCAGCATGATGGGCTTAAGACAAGAATTGCTCAAGGCCAAAACCTGATCAATGTGAGGCCCAGCCTCCAACTTGGCCAAGTCCACCAGACCATGCACTTCACTAGGGCAACCATTGCCCTGGCTTCTGGGTCCCCTCTCCAGTCTCTGAGGTAAGAAAGGAGAAGATGCGTCCCTTACAGGAAGGGCAGAGAAGGTCCAAGCTTTCCAGGAACCTCACCATGAAGAAAGATTAGAGGAACCCTGGGAAGGCCAACTGTAATAACAGGACCGTGCCCACAATCAGCCCAGCACAGAAGAGCAGCAGCAGCCAGATGGGGAAACTCCCTGGGAAGAGAAAGAGCATTGAATCACCAAGAGTTCGTAGAAGGCCCCATATTGGCAGGGCAGGATTCCTACCCCACATTTAAATCCACCATCCCAGCTTTGAACATACGCCGGCAGGCAATCTGGTGCAGGCGGCAGCGGCTGTCAACAGCCACACTTAGGAGGGCTGCCTCATTGCTCTTCAGCAGTTCAGGAGTCTCAGGCAGGAAGGCCACAGCAGTGACCACTATGCCATGTGCTTCCCGCACGTAGTACAGTCTCTGGAGAAGTAGAAAGAAACACAGAATTGGAGGAAATCTGACAGTGAGTCAAGGTAATCCTCAGGAGTCAAGGTAATCCTCTCCTTTCCCTATAGAGCCTGCTGCAAGATCTTGCAACTGTACGCATACCAGCCCTACACCAACCATGACTTTGAAACACTGTTAAGTATCAACATCCTCACCCCAACAATGGCTTGTGCCTTGACCAGGCTTTGTGTGTGCAGGGATTGGCCCAGCTAGCTGAGCATTATGTATACACAATCTTGGAGAGGTAAATTCATACCTGCAAAGAAAAGGCGACGAAGATGGCAACCGAGCCTGTGACAGTGCCCAAACCCAGGAATGTGCCTGTCTCACTGAAAGCACAGAAAGAGAGCCATGTGCATTCCCCATAACATTCATGTACACTTACACAGAGAAATGTGTTTTAGAGGACTAGCATTTCCTCTGAAGGCCAAGCAGGCTCCAGCCTTGAAATACCCAAACTAACTCTTCAAGGTGTTTGCAAAGTCCCTTCTCATTAATCCTACTGGCTATTAGAGGAAAAATGGATCTGAGAGGCTACAGTTTGCTATTATGGAACTTCAGCTCCTATTCGGGCACATATCTAACACCACCATTTTACAACATACAGGCCAAGTGGCCCAAGTGTGCTACAGCTAACATGTTGTGCAAATCCAGTCTATATGGTTAAATATAGTGCAAATGCAGAAAATTTGCAAAAAAACATTGTTTAGTCATCCTTAGGTTAAGAGTGTTATGCAAAACAGAACCAGAATTCTTTCTTCTGTGAAAGTGGAACACAGGAAAATCAAGTTCTCACCTTACAGAGAGGCATGAGATGACTTCATTGCCACAGGGACGAGTGAGCAGGGGCAAAAAACTATGTCCATCCCATTTGGTGATGTAGCAGGGAAGCGGACGTCGTTCACGCTTGTAGGGGATCTGCACCGTGTACAGTCGCAATGCCTTGGCTTGGTCTTCAACTGTACCAAACCTGTGGAAGAAGGAAGAAACATCCAAATAGAAAATACACATGTATAGTCCAGACCAACTGTCTGTGTATTCCCCTTACTTGCAAGACTGGTAGCGGTAGGTCTTGTCTGGAATGCCTGGAAGATTTTCATTCCAACGTAGACCCGTCACCATCTGATCTCGTTGCCACACACAACACTGGAAGTCCCGTCCCACGGTCACCACCTGGAGAGAAGCAATATGAGCAGCCATGGTCCTCAACCACCATTACTATCTCTTGGCCATAAAAACAATGTCAGCCAGTCTTTACCCAAAGATAAGAGTTTCAACTATTTCCACTGTGCTTCATCAAGTATGAAGTAACAGTCAAACTGTTCTCCGTTTTATGAATCTTTAATGGGTGGTCTGTGTCCTCACATATTTATTTGTCTCTGAATGTTTTCCTTCCTTCTATCTTTCCTGGGAACTATCAAAGTTAGCAGCAACCAAAAATCTGATATTGTTCTGGTCCCTGTTGGATTTGAAATCCCTTCCCAGTTTTAAATGGTATGCACATTTCATACACAGCAGCAAGGTGTTTGTGATAGGTCTGACAATCTGTGCTTTTAAAAAGCTATTTCTTTTGATTTCAGAAACTGCAATGGAAAGCATGCTCCAATATGAAAATATTGCATTTTCTTGCTTTCTATGCCTTTCCTTACTCCAGAAAGTAGCAGAAAATGCTGTGGACTGTCAGAGGCGGCTACATAATTCAGTGGTGCTCTACTCTTAAGGCTATTCAACTTGTCTAGATAAGAATGATACATAATTCCTTCACACTGTCTTTTACATTACTGTTTTGAGCAAAGGCTATTAATCTATAATACTAAACCATTATTTGTTTGACCATGGTTAATTTAATAATGTGTAATTGCCTAGATTCACATCAGCATGAAAGCTGGCTGGGTGCCTTTCGGAAAACTGGAGAAAGAGAAGATTTTTTTCAATTTCATGGTACACATGTTGTGCATTAACAATAAACATTTGATTGATTTTCTGAGTTTTTTCCCTTTGGATGTGGGGAAGGATTGCCATATGCTACTCTCTTGTGGCAATCTTTTTGCTAATTATCTTATTATTCCACTATCACTACTAATCCCTAAATCCCTTAGGATTCAGACATCCTTTCAGACTTGAAGGAAATGGCAAAATGTGGGGAAGGTTCAGGATAGCAAAGAAATAAATTAGTTTTTATTAAATACCTTTAAAAAGAAATTGATTTTTAAAAACTCTTATTTGTGCAAATTATCTATGTCCCCATAATGTCTACCACATTCTCTCTCCAGAAACTATTTGTATCCCTGTCTCCTTGGGCCATCTTCAATTCTCCCTATCACTTGCTCTTTCCAAACCCTTCTCTCTTAATAACGAGTATAATCTGGGAAGATTGTGCAATGTTGCCTTCTTCATTGGCACCTAAGATCACTTCACTTAATAAGCAGTAGAAACAAATAAATCTCAGTCTTCTCACCTTGTTATTAGGACCCAATGCTATATCCTCTATCTCACCATTGTGTGCCTGGAATTCAAGAGTTTTCTTCATGCTAGGAAACTGTGGAAGATGTAAGAGAAAAGAGATTTACCACCACCTCCATGTCCACACTTCTAATGTACAAAAGAAGTGCCGTGCAACCCAAGTCTTCCTCTTCTTCTCTCCACCATTGTAGCCTTGCTCCCCAACACACACCAGGCCATTTCTTCATCTCCCCATACAGGTGTACCTCCCAGACTCGCAGGAATCCATCCACGCCACCAGTAGCCATAAGGGTATGATCATCACTGAAGCACACAGCCTTCTGTAGAGTATCTGGGCTGGTGTCTGTTTGGACACAGTGCAAAGTTTCCACTGCCACCTGTGTCATCTCCTTGTGTGTATTGCCATTGCTTTTCTCACTGGGGACAGGGGCCTTGCGTCTCCGTAGATCCTTATCACCAGCACCTAAAGGCATAATGGCACATCAGGAAATATAAACCTCTCTGACCAGCGGCTCCCAACTTTCTCTTCTGCAGATCTTGTCCATTTTCAGCATCAGCAAGATTTGTAAGTATTGCTGTTTTCACTTTTACCTTAGTTTTTAGACCGCTATTGTTCTGGCCCTTAGGAATTCAATTCTGTAGCTAAATAAATGTTAGGTTCTCACCTGCTTTAGCACTATCGCCACTGCTGCCACCTGTTTTCTGCCCAGATTTAAAGAGCTGGAAACTCAGGATATGGCAAGTAGCATCCTGCCCTGCAGCAATAAAATTTCCTGCCAGTGCCATAGTCATGGTAGCCCGGGTCTCTGTGTCATGAGCATGTAGCAGTGAGGCAGATAACTTGCCATCTCTCCAGTCCAGTTGCAAGAAATGCTTGGGGAACAAAATAGGAAAAGGAAGGATGATGCACAACTACCTCTCCAAAATGGCCTTCTTCCTTATCTACCCAAGGGCAAATCTTGCCAGGGATGACAAGATTTGTCCTTCCTTACCATTGTACCAAAGGATGAGTACAGAGAGGGCACAACTCTTCTTCAAGCATGGTTTTGTGCTTGCCTGAAAGGACAACCCGTAGTTCCTGCGTAGCCACTTTCCCCCTTGGTGTCCTTTTCACGTTTTTCCTTTGGAGTCTGTATAATGTTCCCTGTGCCCCCCACACCAAAGCATCTTCGTCCAATGCTGCACAAACCTTGTTCTGACAGTTGCAGCAAACACCACCACCCTCCCCATTCCCCTAACCGGGTGATGGGCTACAGCTCTAGGGGCAGGAGGGGATCTTCCGGCCAACACACAGAAGGCGAATCCGAGGGCAGGAGGAGGGGTGTGCCCTGCTCCGGTAGTTTCCATACCAAGCCATTCGTGATCCCCGTTTTGGCGGCGCCGCCTCCCCCCGCGATCAGCGCCAGTCCAGCTTCACGGTGTATGCGGAGGGCATAGAGCGGGAACGGAGCCCGGTAGAGCTCGGGCGGCCGGCGAGGAGGCATGACTGGATCAGCGAAGCCGGGGTCAAAGGTCAACTCATGCCAATTCCGCACTAAGCTGCTCTTTCCTCGACTCCCCTCCTCTCCAGCGTAGCTCTCGGTATCACAGTGCTTTGATCTCGACTAGGCATGCGCAGATCCGACCTCCTTGACATGGCGCAGGCGCAGAATTCTCAGCACACGTCGGCACAAGAAGGACCAGCCGGCGAGAAAAGCTTCGGTCTCATAAGAGTCAAAAGAAATATCCACGTCGCCGCCGCCGCCGCTTGGCGTCTATAGTTAGGGCAAATCACGCGGTGTTTAAGAGACGGAAGTATGTTAGTGAGCTGTACTCCATTTTCTTCCTAAGAGGCTTCAGCCGTCTTTAAAGCGATGGGGCGATTGAATTACCACCGTGCTAATTTCTGCGCGTGCGGATCATGCATTTTGTAAAATGCATCTACGGTACTAGGTTCCCGTGGGTGGAATTAGAAGTATGTTTTCGGCTGTATGGCCCTGGGTTTATATAATGAATTTTGGAGCATATTCTGCAGTATTTCCATGTAATCTTTCCTTAAGTCTTCTTTCTGATGTTATGATAGTTTTAGAGTCAGATGATACTTCTTTGAGATTTCTTGTTTCTGGACCTTGGGATGATGTAGCTATTGTAATTTTTTTTAAAGGTGCACTTAAATCACAACCCAAGAGCTGGAAGGAGCCAAGGAGATACCATCCTAAGAGCCCAAGAACACTCCCCCAGAGCTCCAAAGCCCGACGTGAGTCAGTTTCCATGACTGAGAATGGACTCAAACCTGAATTCCCCCCCCCGCCCCCCCGTCCTACTCCAATAACATGAGTTATGAAATGAGACTTATGTTTTTTATGCGAGGCTGAAAGGTGAGAAAAGAAAGCTAAAAAAATTAATCAGAGCCCTGCAAATTGATTTTGGATTTATCATTGTGGGATGGTAGCAAATATACTCATTCCCAAATTTAACTGAGAAGAAATTACCCATTTTTGTTCTTTTTTGTTAAAAAGATTAAAGTATCCCTGTCATGTCCAACTCTGGGGTGTGGTGCTCAACTCCGTTTTTTGGCTGAGGGAGCTAGCATTGTTTGCTATGGCCAGCATGGCTATACATTAAAGATATACAGAACACTGTTATTTGTGTCATCTATTATTTTTTACAAATAAGGCAGCAAACCTCTACCTCCTAATTTCTTCACAATCTTGGGAGATGGCTTGGTGTGAGACAGTGTGCCTGACCCAAAATCACCCAGCTGGCTTTCATGGCTAAGATGGATCTTGAACTCAGGGTCTCCTTGTTTTGTAATCTGTGCCTTAACCACTAAACCAAACTGGGAAACCAAATAAATTGGCTTTGGCCCGCAGCCATCTATCTCTTTTTGATACAAAAGCAGCTCCCTTCCCAAAGCACATGATGGTACTGAATTGTTGGGATCTGGTTTCTGCTCTACAATTAGTTTATCTTTTGCAGAAATGACCCATGGAGGTCCAGTCTTTTTTGAAGATCTTAAAAACTACTTGGCCTCAGCAATTCCCGTGGTCAACTTCAGCTGGATGGCCTCAATCAGTATCAGCCATGAAAGCTTCCTGATACTCAGGAAGCAGAAATCTTTGCTTCTCAGAGCAGACAAAATTATGTAAATAGTTTAAAAGGAATAACCAAGCATCTACTGACGTGCGTATATGGCTAGCTTCCTGCTTTCTGCAGTAGATACATCTGCATTTATTACTTTTTCATTTCTGTAATGAAGTAACTGATTCAGCCATATAAAGACTTTGAAGTTTCTTCTATTACTGAATATGAGAGGTTAAGAGATACTAGACAGTTTATACCTATCACATATTTGGTAAGTCTGGCCATGTTGCTTGGACATTAGCTCACATGCCTCTGTAAAGCACTTTGCTGTCATCATCCAAATGGCACATAGGAATAATCTGAGTGAATAAAATCTACTGGAGAGTCAAGATGTAAGCAATCTGATTGTTTTGTTTATCCAGCTATTCATCAATCATAAGAATGTGATGGGGAAATGAATAGCAACCAAATTTATTTTGATGGAATCAGAGGCACAGAATTCCTTTAGATGTACCAGTGCTTTGATTTGCCGTAAGAAAGCATCTGTAGTTGTTCACACCCAACAATTGGATGTTTTCATAATATATATTCAGCATTATCAATGGGTTATATATACCTAATGGTTATATCCCATTATTATTTCACACAGCAATTTCAATTCTCTAAAGAGGCATAGCCAGCCACACCAACAGGCTGAAGAACAGTTTCTACCTGTGGGCTGACAGACTTCTGAACAGAAAATAACTTCATGTCAACATAGTATGGTAGACTTGTAGGGTGCGCGCTTTGTGCAACAAGGTCACATAGTGTAATAAGATTGGGTCTGGGTTAGGGACTTCTGCCCTTACTGTGAGTTTTGTTGGGGGGAAGGGTCACGAAGGGAAGCTCAGCCAATCTCATTGTACACATGTTGTACTCTGACAATAAAGGTAATAATAATAACAAAACCCAAATTAAAACGTTTCATTAAAATAAGCTATGCTGGTTTCTGGGCTTTTTTTCCCTGTATGTGAAAATAGATTTTTCTTGTTTCTCCAGAATATAAGAGCAAGATCAGACACTAATTAAATTATTTATTTATTAGTTCTTAATCCATTTCAAGATTCAATTAAAATTGATTTTTTTAAAATTATGTATCCCAAATGAACAGTATTTTCCACATATTCCTAATATTCATCATCCTGTGATAATTACTGGAGCCACTATATGCAAATTCGTATTACTAGGTGGCCACTAGAAATGGAAGCTTTTCGATGTCTTCAAAGGTTGAATCCATGTGTCTGTTTTTAGTTCCAGGCAAATAATTTCCCCAGTTTTGTGTAATATTCAGCAACCTTAGATTTGTTTAGGATATTATTTGTCTGTTTTTATTTTACTAAAAATATTTTGCCTTTTAAATTTTAAAAGACTTTATAATGCAAACTACAATTATAAAATGTATTATTTTAATATTTATTTGATTTGGGAACTTGTAAAATAGCTCAAGAAATTCAATTCCTACATTATAAAAATACAATCCATTTAATCTAAATCATGCTAATAGATCTACATAAAATTCTCCCCTGCAAATCATAAAAGATAAAAAATATCAATATATTTCTCAAATATAGTTTATTAACGAGTTTTTCAAACCTTTTCAGGCTGTGAAATGAAACCTGCTTGTTAAAAAAAAGCATGATTAAACATGCTGAGGCTTCTGAAGGTCAGCTAACATCTCTGTTCTTTTTTCTGTACTTTAGTGCAGTGGTCGCCAACCAGTGGGCCGGGGACCAATGGTGGTCCGCAAGAAAATTTTGGTGGTCCGCAGAGAAATATCACCTCCAAAGTACCTCCCAAAGCATTAATCCAGGCTGCGTGGGAACACAAGGCTGTACTGCCCACATGGCCTGCGGGAACACAAGGCTTGTGTTGCTTGCATTGCGAACAACACGAGGTAGTGAGGGGAAGGGGAAAAGGATGAAGGGGGGTACTTGCCCCACTTCCCTGGCCTGGCCACCAAGCTGCTTCTTTCTTCTGTTTTTGGCTGCATGCAAGGAAAGCAGCAAAAGTCTTTCTTTCTTCCTCCCAAACTCCATCAGAAATGAGTCTTTGGGACCCTGCAAGGCATCCTGCTCCAAGAGGCTGTGCAGGCAAAGACTCATTTCTGGCGGAGTTTGAGGAAGAGAAAGACTTCTGCTGCTTTCCTTGCATGAAACCAAAAGTCTCTCTCTCTCCCCCACTGAGAATGGAGCTGGAGACGGTATCCTGTGATCCCAAATAAAGAATGATTGATTGGTAGGAAAATGGGGTGGGGAATTTTCCTGCAGCCTTTTTTCCTGAAGCCACCATCAGTCAAAATTCATATTAGTGGTCTGCAGGATTTTAAATTATGAGTTTGGTGGTCCCTGAGGTCCAAAAGGTTGGCGATCCCTGCCTTAGTGACTAAGAAGGAAAGAAATATGCAAGGGACAAAGACTGAGACCCTCATAGAGAGATTTTTCCCCAGTTTCATAGAACCCTTTATAGAAGTGATGGCTAACCTTTTCTGGGTGAAGTGCGCAGGCCCCCTCACGTGCCCCCCCTGCATGCGTTCCTGTGCATGAGTCCCCTCCACACCACACAGACCCTGTGCATGCGCAGCAGAGGCCCAATGACCAGCTGCCCAGTGGGAGGTGTGTGCGCATGTGCAGTGGAGCTGAACTAGGCCAACAGCTCGCATGCCCACAAAGGGCGCTGCTGCCACCTGTGGCACGCATGCCATAGGTTTGCCATCACGGCTTTATAGAGTCCTTAAAAATGACAATCAATATATGAAAAGTCATGCCTTTTTCCCAGTACTATGTCACTACACTGTTTAATCAGATGTATGAGACACAAGCAGAACATGGACATTGCATTGTACCGTTGGTGTCCCAGCTGCCTCCAACAGTATAGGTAACATACAGGTAGTTCTCGACTTACCATAATTTGTTTAGTGACTGTTCAAAGTGAGAACAGCACTGAAAAAAATTGTGTATGTTTTTTACACTTGCAACCACTGCAGCATCCCCATGGTCACGTGTTCAAAATTCGGACACTGGGCAACTGGCATGTATTTATGACAGTTGTAGTGTCCCAAGTCACCTTTTGCCAGCTTCTGACAAGCAAAGGTTAATGGGGAAGCCAGATTCACTTAACAATCATTTTACTAACTGCATTGATTTACTTAACAACTGTGGCAAAGGTGGTGTAAAATGGGACAAAACTCATTTAACAGTCATCTCACTTAGCAATGGAAATGGGCTCATTTGTGGTCGTAAGTCGAGGACTACCTGTACTTTCTCCATGACTTTGCCTAATCTTATTTTGAAGGCCACAACTTAATAATATCCACCATTTAGCATAGTTAATTTGTCCCCATGTCTAATGTTAACGGAAAAAAGAATCCTGACTTGTCCCTACAATTCTCAGTGATTTTGGCCTCAAAATCTGAGGGATGCTGGCTCTCCTCATATCTTTCAATAATCATCACCTTAGAAAGCTAGTATTTGTAGATTTTTTTCACCTAAGTGAATTGTTCAGGATTCTTGAGAATTCTGGCTGTCATGTCTTCCTTGGTTTTCTGAGAGAAAACCACCAGCCCTCTCACCTTTCCATTATTCAGAGTTGGAGAAAAAAGAATGAAGAACCGATAATCAGGGAGCATTTTTGGGAAAGGAGCTGAAGCCAAACCTGTATTCGTAAATCCATTTTGGGCTGCCGTAGAGCCTATGGCAGCACTAACAGGCTAACCTCACTGAGGTGCAGATAAAACCTTTTGTAGGGAGGGGAACCCCATCCCTGCTGTATTTCAATGTTCCATCCTTGCATTCTAAGGTTATTTTAAAGGATTAAATTACCTTTTATTTTCTCATAGGTTTGTCAAGTCATTCTTACTCATGGCACTGTGGAATGGGTGAAGAAGAAATGATTCTACAGGGGCAGGCTAGAGGCCTGAAGCTTTGCTGGATAAATTAAATTGTTGCAATTGTTGTTGAAGCCTAGGATAGAAGAAGTCAGAAAGCATTGCTTTAGGCCACTAAATCCAATGTTCTGTTCCATGCAAGAATCTGAATTAAAATGCTGAATATAGCTGGAGTTGGACAGCTAATAAATAGGATTCTCTTTTCTGACATGTTTCTTTACTTCTCAGTTTAATCTACAGTCCTGATAGTTCCCGATTGTATTCCACTGAAGTATTAAACAGGTCTGACTCCACATAGCTTTCCAAAATCAGCCAGCATCTGCGGAAGCTCAAACACAAACTAAACTTCTGAAAAGCATTTGATAATGAAGAAGCA